CCACCTCGCTTGCAGAGAGCGATGAAGGCGATGTTCTGATTGCCGACTTCTCACAGCCTGCGCGGCTTTATGCAATCCGGGCGAAGACCGAGCCAGTATGATCTTCGATGACGTCAATACCATGAGTGGTAGGTGGCTAAATTATACGGAGACTTCGCCACGGTCTCCAACCCTTATCCTTTCTCAATCGGACTTGGGATAGGCAACGGCGGAGCACTCCGTCTCAAGAAGTTTATTCTTTTTATCCGTTCCCATCGACGACGACAGCACCAAGTGCTGTTCAAGCATTCCAAATGGATCGAGTAAATGCTGGCCCTCCCTTCGGTGCTTGCAATGTATTGTCAGTTCTGATGAGAACTTTCAATCTTTTTTGAGGTCCTCCTGACGGCCGCTTGTAATCAGACTTTCCGTTTAGTATTCTTTTCGTAAGGAGGCTATCTTCTAATCGCTGACAGTAACCCCGCCATCTTAAACGCTTTGTTAGCAGTCAGTCGGTCACTGTAATTGCACATTCAAATCTTTTTCTTATAACAGCATTTGACACCTGATTGCAACATTTCACTCCTGATATTAATCTTAAAATATTCACTTCCGCCATTTCTGGTTTTTTTATGAAGCTTTTGATCGACGTTATGAAGCTTTTGAACTTATTTTTGCGTTATCAGCCAGAAACTCTTTGTTGATGCTGTTTCAAGATTATATGCACAGCTAAATGACCCTGTCCATATCATTATTAAGCCAATATTTCCTTCATTATATTTTTTCCCTCTAGCAACGATGAGAAACAAAAAACTCTATCCTGGTTCAGACACACACCGTCGGTAAATAAGCCCACGAAAGAAGTGTTAACTCATGAAAAGTGAAGTGACTGATGATGATGACTCATGATGCCTGAAAGTCGCATTCTTTCACAGGATAAGCTGACCACTCTATTCAGAAAATCCCACAAAGTAAAACGCGTTTTAGGACTCCTAACCGAAAGATCGCAGGTTGGAATCCTAGGAAGATTTTTGCCCTTCCAGTGTATATCGAAGCGGTAGACTCTCAATGTCTCCAGGACAAGAAATTTCTCGCTGATTACGCTGTGCCAGAAGCACATAAAAGCCTGACACTGCGAAACAACCTCGATCAACGAGGTAAGCAGATCTAAACGAATACAAAACTTTCCTTAACCCAGCTAAATTGGAAAATCCTAGAAAAATTCCGCTACACAATCATGAAAAGATTGCGGGTGAAGTTAGAGTGTCAAATAAGAGCATAATAACAAAAGTCAGAGGACTTCGAGTTACCGCCGGTCT